AACCTGCGCTATGCCAGTGATACAACTTTGCTTACTGAAACTGAGGAGGACCTGAAATATTTGCTGCAAAAGGTCAAGGCCTGAAGTCTTCGATATGGATTGAAGCTCAACATCAAGAAAACAAAGATTCTCACCACTGGGACAATTGGCAGTTTTGTAATAGAGACAAGATTGAGATTGTTAGTAACTTCAGCATGCTTGGATCCACAGTCAACAATTTTGGTACCAGTAGCCAGGAAATCAAAAGATTAATTACATTAGTGAAGTCTGCTTTCAGGGACCTCTCCGGAGTATTGAGGAGCAGTGATAGCAATCTAAAGACTAAGGTGCACCTTTTCCAGACCTTGGTCTTCACAATTATTTGCTATGCATCAGAGAGCTGGACAATGACTAAGAATGAAAGTAGAAGAATTGATGCCTTTGAGTTGTGGTGCTGGAGAAGAGAATTAAACATACCATGGACTGTCAAGAGAAGGTGAAACCTGGCTGATCCTTGGAAGCAAGGGGTTGGTTATTTTTATTTCATTTTATTACTTTTTTGTAGGTGTACCATCAAATCTGATCTGACTGGTACAGGAGGAGATTGTCCCTCCTTCTCCAGCAGAGCATCGGGTGGATTTGAATTGCTCACCTCTGGGATTGCAGTGCAGCTTTCTTCCACTAGGCTACCAGAGTTCCCTGGAGGCAAAGGTTTTGAAGCTCTGTCACACATGCTTTTGCCATGTGGCCAGGAGGAAACTTGTCCTTAGAGAAGGACATCGTGTTTGGAAGGGTGGAGGGACAACACAGGAGAGGAAGACTCCAGATGAAATGGATTGACATGGTAACTGGGGTAATGGGGGTAGATGTGTCAGAGACAGTGAGAATGGCTCAGGATAGAGGCAGAGTTCAGAGCTATTGTACATACGGTTGCTATGAGTCACAAGTAACTCGATGGCACATAACAATAACAATGTCCTATTTCTCACTGAAAAGAGCAAGGTTTAGACACCTTCATATTTCTCTGCAGCCAGCCTTAGGCCAGGTTATTCCAACTGATATGATTAAAAGTTGAGATGGATAAAGTTTCTGTTCTCAAAGATTTGGGTGTCATTTCCTGTTTGCTAGATGCACTGCGTACACAATGTGATTTCCTAGAGAGAAGCCGAGTGAAGATGCTTAGACTCCAAGAATCCAAGAAGGTCGTTGCAATTGAATCCTCTGTGAACCTCCCAGTAAGAATCCCCAAATGTAATCTTTCCCAGCACCCCTCTCTCTCCATTAGCCAACTGAAAGTTCCTTTATCCTGGCTTCTTGGGATTAATTTCTTTTCTGAATCCAAACCTCTTTTACCCTTCCTTTGTCCTTAGTTTGCTAGAAACCTTCCCTGCAGGTTCTTCTTTGTATATATATATTTACTGACCCTTTCCCCTTTCCAGTCTAAAGGAGGAAGAGCAGAAGAGGGTCCCACTCGTAGAGGTCCATTCTTTAAAACCAAAGCAGACTTCCTCAGTAGGAGGGACAAACATCGTTAACTAAATAAATAGACCAAGTTAGAGAGGTAATACTTGGTACGGAATGAAATGTGAGTTTCCTTTTTCTAGAAAGACTCCTTTCTGCAAGATCTTCAACAAGGATTAAATAGCCTCGCCTCAGACACCTTGAAGGTTCTGAGGGTGGTAGGGACTTCAGGGAGCACCTGTTTGGGGGTTAGGGAAGAAGACTAAAAAAACCCTAATACAATTGAGCCTTTGAGGGATAGAATAGTGGGTTTTAATCACAATTGAATGAATTGAGAAATTATGGTACATTTACACGACAGAATACTATGCAGCATGCAGGAGCAATGATTTTGTAAATTACTATCTAACTTGGGAGGGACTGGAAAGCATTATGCTAAGTGAACAAACTCAGTCCCATAGTACCAATATTGTATAAGATCATTACTGTAGAACAAGCATGAGGATCTAAGGTGGGGGGTGGGGGGGACTGAAAATGGGTGGGTGGTGGGGTGGGTAGGTGGAGGGGTCTTAATCATAGGGTCACAAAACTTGATGAGTGGAGGTGGGTGAATAAAATGGGAAAGATCTGGTGTGAAAAACAATGTGTATGAACTTCGTAAATAAACCAGTATAAAATAAAAATGAAAATTCCCTCACAAAGTCTATTTCAAAGTCTACCTACTTCTGCTGCCTTCTTGGTGTTAGGCATCTTCTCCTTCCACATCACTTTCTTTCCAACACCTCCTTCTGCCAAAATTCATCCATTTTCTACCTCTCTGCCTCAAGACAATCTCCTTCTCCACCTCCAATTGCCCTTTACTCTTCTTCTTTTCTCTATTCCAAGGGAGCAACAAGGCAGCAGAAACAAGAACAATCACAAGTATGTATTTACTAATTTATTTTACTCTTATTAATTTGATACAATCTGGGTAGGCCAAGTGCTGACATAGGGAATGAGAACTCACAGCAGGGGTGAGGGAGGGGACAATACAAAGAAAACTGGGGGATGGGCTACAGAAGGAGCCCTCCCTGGCAAGTGCTAGTAAACACATTCCTACCTATTCCCATTCCTTTATCAGAAACTTCAGCCAAGCTCTCTCTGCTTCTCTCCTTCCACTGCCTGCCACCACACACATTTCACAGAACCTCTACAGTTAGCAAAGGGGAAGAATGGCAGGGGCAGCTGTCAGAGGCCTTGAACAGGAAGTTCTCTGTTCTTCAATTTACCCAAAATCTTTCCCTCTCTCCCTTCTCCCATGCCACTCACTTCCCAGGCTCTAAGCTAATTTGAGGCCTTCAATGTACTCTCCCACAGTAGTACTAAGCCATACTAGCATATGTAAGAGTGTGGTTGCACCCCAACATCACTCACTCCCAGGCACAAGTTGACAGGATCTGGTTTAGGCTTCCTCTTCTTTTAAAAAAAGGAAATCTCAACCTATTTCTGCATAGATGTTTTTCTAGATTTGGGCCAAATAAAAGTTCTTACCATTGTTTACGATTGCTTCTCTCCTATTTCTCTTTTCTCTACTGGCCTTAAGGTCTCTCTCCCACTCTTCCCCTGGAAATTGTAATTGTAACATTTCTGTCTTATTACTATGACAAGTTTTCAGAAAGAAAAACATCTTGCCACTTAAAAAAAAAAAATCTCCCCATCCACAAACGAATGGATAGAGAAGCTGTAGTATATTCACACAATGGAATACTACGCTGCATTGAAAAACAAGGAACTCATTCAATATTATTCAAAATGGGTGAGCCTGGAGGACATTATGCTGAGTGAAATATCTCAGTCGCAAAAGAACAAATGTTGCATGGTGCCACTGCTGTAAAATGAGACTGATATCAGGGTGGGGGTAAGACTGAGAAAAACTGGATAAATTGTGTATACTGCACTGAAACAGATGAGGGAGAGAATAATTTAAAAGTGATGTAATATAAGGTATTATGGTTATCACAAGAGTCCACAATTAAGGTTGCATAGTGGAATGTACTTGGGGTGGTGGGAGGGGTGCGGGGGGATTGTGTACCAGGGAGGGAGTCTTTCTTTTACTTTTGAAAGAGAGGAGCGAACTGGGGGGTGGGGGGAGAGGGCTGGGCGGGTAGAGAAGTGCAGCAATGAATGAATGGAAATCCAAATTCTCTGTAAATGTTCATTAAAATTATTAAAAAAAATAAAAAAACTCTATATTTGTCTTTACATGTTTTAAAAAATTTCTAAAAAGCCATTCTGCTATCTATAGCAGTCTAAGGGGTGATCTGGCCTGCGTAGCCACTTCAGTGATCTAATCTTGGGACTTCCAGATCCCTCCCTAGCCCCAGTACTGTATCACAGGTCTAAGGGTCCACTGCATAAACATTCCAGGCTCAACCACCCCTGGCTCAAGTCAGATAAGATGCTCTGTAAAAAATCCTGCTCTCAAAGACAGGGGTAAGGCCACTGGTAACTTCACATTTCCAAAAACATTTCCTGCCAAACCCAAAGATGGCTTACCTCCTAATTGGCACAATAAGAATAAACCCTCCCCAACTTTCTCTCCTACTTTCCTCCCTCTTATAGTTTATAAGCTATTTTCATAATTTTCTTAATATCCACCCTAGCTCTAAAGCATATTATCAAAACCTGCGAAGTGGGTCAAGGTTAAGAGTGAATATGAACAGCCTGACTCCACTTTTGAAGCAGAAGAGAAAGCTTCTAGTCATGGCTCAGGGATCTGTGGGAAGAAGAAATAGAAGACTAGGTAAGAGATTCATATAGGGAAAGACAATTTTACATCACCCAGGTTTATACCAATGGGAATAGACACCTCTCCCACCCCAACCTCTTTGTGCTACTTTTTATGGGTTAAGCATTGCTGAGGAGCATGGAGGTCCCGTCTGGAACTATGTTACTTTAATATTACATCTTCTCTAATTGTTCAAGAGTTTCAGCTACCTTTTGTCCTAAATCTTTCCTCTGCTTAGAACTAGTTGGGACTGAACCCTGTCCATGTCTAAAGTCATCATTTATGTCTTTTTTTTTCTTTTTAAAAACGAATTTATTCTTGTTGTTGAGAATATGCATAACATAGCATACACCAATTCAATGTATACAAGTGCAAATCAATGACATTGTTCATTTTTTGAGTTGTGTAACAACTGTCACTTTTACTAAATCATTCTCCCACATTCCTATACGTTCACTGACTCCATAACATTTCAAGTTGCTGTTGTCAATTTTATTTCATATTATTGTTGTTGTTAATTTATGTCTTTTAAAAAAGATATTTGCAATGAATAAATCATTGAAAATACAAGATTCTATCATTCTTTTCCCAGCCTCCTTCCTATCATCAAACTCATACTTTCCAATTACTATTACTTTTTCACTGTTTCCAACTTTTGCATTCCAGCCACCAATTATCTTTAATGCATCGTCAGTCAATTGCACATTTGGTCAATTTCGGTCTGCATGGGTTGCTATGGCTTGTATTAGACTCAACGCCACCGAATAACAAGAAGTTGGGATTAGCTAGGGATTTAGGAGTAAGCAGAAAATTGTGAGATGCTAGTATGATTAAGGAGGGCTGTACCTGACTCAAAGTTCACGTCCAGTCCCTCGTTCCCGTCCATGAGGTCCCTGATGATGTTATCCATGTCACACTCCAGGTTCTCCATATACATATCAAGATCTAGATCCTGAGGCATTCTGTCTTGGTGTGCAATTTCAGTACGGGATATGAGTACAGGAGTACCCAGGGTCTTGGGGATGGAAGCACCTGCCATGACAAGAGGTGGTGCTACTGTGGAAAGGGAGGGGACTAGATATTGGAGGCCTGGAGTTTCTAGGGATTTAGGACATAAGCCAACTCCAGTGGCTATCTTACTGGAGGAAGGTATTCCCTGGGACAAAATGGGATCTTCCTGGGTCGTGAGTACTTCAGCAGCGGGGGGTGGTGTTTCAGAGGTGAGTAGGCTCTCCAGAGACTGGGAGCTTGAGAAATACTGTTTTCCTACTGATAGGGGCCCTTCTGCTGTGCTGAAGAGGGGGGTACTGCAAGTACGTAAGGGGCCAGTAACCCCAGGATGCTGAAAAGTGAAGCCAGAGAGACTAGTCTGAGATAACAGGGAAGTAGAAGATGAGAGATTGAGCCCATCTAACAGCTCTAGATCCTCATTTAGGGTAGGAGGGACACCTTCTGCACAGATGCTGACTGAGGCTGTTATTTCTTTTTCCACTAGCACCTCAGGCTCTGACCACATGGGGGACAGCTGAGTGCTGACGGTGCTGACACTGGAACTGCTTCGTGGGTGGAAAGTGGTCCATACATCAATTTTCTCACAGTTTCTGGAACAGGGGCTGCCTAACCACTTGGCAAAGCGGCCAAGAGGGCTTGTCTGAGTAATACCTTCAGGTGGAGTTGGCAGAACACCTGGTTTCTTCTTGGGGGTCTTGCTCCGGCCCTGGAGCATCTTGCTGTTGCTATCCATGGAGGCTGCCCGGCAGCGAGGTGCCTTGCTGCTCTTGCCTCCCTCAGGATTCAGCATCCACCAAGAGCTCTTGCCAGTTGCCTCATTGTGAACCTTGATGAACTTGCTGTGCAGGGACAGGTTGTGGCGGATTGAGTTCTGGAAGGGATAGAGGCAGCAGGAAAGGGGCATGAGGGGTGTGTGTGTGGTCAGTGACTAGCAGTCCAGTCTAAAAATACACTGAGACAGCAGAGGTGTTGTGGGGGATTTCCAACAAAGTCAGGTACCAGAGAAAAGACAAGAGGGCTGAGGCAGAGGAGGAATGGGAGTAGGAAATCACACCCTTAATAGCTCCCTGGTGGCCTAGTGGAAAGAAGCCGTTCTAGTCCACCAGTTGCTTCACCGGAGAAGGATGGGCAATCTCCTCCCGTGCGATTAATTGTCTCTGAAAACCCGCCAGAGGGTCAGCTATGGGTCAGTTCTGACTCGACACAACAAGAACAACAACCCTTCAGTCAAGCTGCTCAGCCTTTGTTTCAGACTTCTCTGCATAGGGATCCAGAAAAATATCTGAGTAATTACCTGCTACAGAGGGTACTATGCTTGTCCAAGAAAAGCTAACAGAGATTTTTTATTTCCATTCATTCATTGTTCCACTATTTTCTCTACCCCCCCACCCCCACAGTTCATTCCTCTTTTTATTTTTTCCCTTGAAAGTCTGTTTTAATTGTCACAGTGCTTGTCAAAACCAGTTCTCATTAATCTCCTTTGTCAGTGTATCCTTTGCCATTCCCTATCACTCCTCCCTGAGAGAAATTTCACCCTGATTCATAAGGAAAAGGGGACGGTGTATTCTCTTAGCTACTTCCTGCTAAAAAGAGAAAATAGTGCAACAATGAATGAATGGAAATCCAAAATCTCTGTAAATGTTCATTAAAATTAATAAAATTTAATAAAAA